GTGTGTGTGTATGTGTGTGTGTGTCTGTGCATGCCCTCCCTCCCCTCAGTGCTCCATCTAATACCCTGTCATCATCAATAACCTCAGTAGTGCTGACTCATTGGCTTTTACAACCACGGGGTTTGGGCCTTACTTACAGCCACAGACCCATGTCTCCGTCTCTGTCTGTCTGTCGCCCGCCGCACACACGCCGGAGATTTTGCATGCGTGCACGTGTTTGCCTGAGCACGATTGTAAACTCACACTTGTACTTACGCTTTTATTCTTCAGTGTAGATGTGTCCACACAGGTACGGATGTGTCTTTCAAAGGGGTTCCTGCGATGAAAGTCACCCACTCGTTGGTGCGCCCCAATCATTCCCAGTACACAACCCAGGAAAAGAATTGACTCTCATCAGGAGACAAAGCCTCATCATAGTTTCTAAGCATGCCACCTCCTCCCCCTTCCCTCTATCCCATCATGCCTATCCTAATAGTATCCAGGCCTTTATTTAATTCTCCTTACAGGCATTAACCATGGGTTTTATCTCATATTCACAAGAGGGTGTAAATACATATAAGCTTCCAATTATACCAAGCAGTCTTTATCATTGTGGGGTTGTTGCAGTTGAGTTCGTCAAAGGTCCCTGATGATGAATGTGGAGACAGGCTGCGTCAGACAGTAATGACAGCGAGCATCACGACACCGTACATGCCCCCGGTTGTCTTGACATTTTTATGGACAGTATGTGAACGTGGGCTGTTCTGACGTGTCAACGCTTCACATGTGGCCCACTGATGGCGCTGATGGGGAGATGTTCTCTGTGCACCGTGTCACTCATAAGTCTGTGGCCACCAGGACTGTAAATCTGCCTCCAGGAGACGTTATGATGAAGTTTTGTGATTTTGTTTTTATTATATGAAAGTAAAGATTTTTTGAATGGTGCGAAGTCAACAAATACATTTTGCACAAAGTGAAGACAGAAGTGTCTGACAGTTGCTCATTTGAGGATTGGCATTTTTTTCCCCTTGCATGTAAAAAGGAAAAAAACAACAACCACATGGTCCACATTTAACTTCCAACCGTGTTTGAGGCTTCTATATTAACTCTGTATTCAAAAGCTTTCTATTTCTAGGTGGGATTAATTTAGTGGATGCAGAGTGGATTTGAAGCTGCGGGGCTGGATTTTGAACAAATAGCCAAAGTTAGAATTACTGGGAGCTTGTCCAATCAGACACACTTTCAGGACAGGGACATTGAAGGTTATGAAATAATAAATGATATAGAATTACACATATGTGCCCTAATCTTATTTTGTTTGAGAGACAGAGAACCCCCCCC